AAATTTCAATGAAGTTGTTCACACATAGAACAACGCGATTAACTTTTTTTTGACGTTACGACGACAAACTGTCATAACGATAAATGAAACGTCACAATAAAAATGTGATGACAGATAATTGCAGTGTGAAACGACAAGGAGGTAGACGTGCGCAAAACAGTACCTCGAAAAGTAATGTCATATCACATCACATTTCTGTAAAAGTAATATTACTCTGTGATATCACTATTACTATTACCCACAACATCATACAGTGTAACACACACAACCTAAAAAAAAAAAAAAAAAAAAACACCGACTAATTGACAACCTCCTCCTTTTTTTGAAGTCGGTTAAAAAAGCGATGCGTTTTAAAACAACCTATAAAACGCGTTTCTAGAACATAAACTTGCATTATAAACAAGATCTACTTACATATTACTAGAGAGAATCAAACAAAAATTACGAAATATTACGAACCGTCTGGCAACCCACACTCACCCTGGTTAAATTTTACATTATAAATTGCCACGTAATCAAGCAATGATTAACAAGTTATGCAATTTCATTTTAAATGTCTACTGTTTAATTCGTTTACACCATCTAGTAAGTTGTAAAATAACAAATGCACTCCAAAAATCAGACGTTAATTATAAGTTGTTACATAACCTCACTTTTACTAAATCTCTTATAGCTCTGCTTTCAGTTCAATTCGCAGAATTTTCAGTGATGGTACATCAATACCTACGCAATTAACTGATACTACCTTCATGTTTTTACATCTTGGATTGATTGTATGAAAGCGTATCCATCTCCTTCTAGATTACCAAGAAAGATCGAAATATATTTAACCAAGCACAAGCACTGATTAACAAATTATGCAATTTCATTTTAAATTGTCTACGGTTCCATCCTTTTACACCATTTAGTAAATTATGAAATAATTGGGGTATTAATACAAACATCGTTCTACTGCAATATTCCAAATTAGATGCATTTACATTGCATTTCGCATAATAGTATTAAACAAACATCACTCCGTGATGTTCTAAGCATCACGTGTACTGTTTCAGGTAATATCACGCGGGTAATGTTTCGGGTAATGCATCACGCGCGTACTGTTTCCGAGCGATGCATCACGCGGGTAATGTGTAATGCTAACATTACGCGTGATGCTAACATTACGCGTGATGCTAACATTACGCGTGATGTTAGCATTACATTGCATCATTGCATCACAGCATTGCATCACGCCGCGTACTGTTTCGCGTAATGGGTGTTAGTAGCGACACCTGGCAGCAGCGCTACGTAACACTACGGCACGGATAGCAATGTCCCATCAAGTAGTAAGTCGAAAATTTGCTAGGTGGCGCTATTAATATCGATATATACCCAAGTTCACCTCGTATGTGTAATAAAAAAACGATACATTACGAAATAATTCCTATACGCATCATAATAATTGTTAATTTAACTTGAATGATGGCGAGTGCGTGTGAGACTGAGATACTGTTATATATCTCGGATAATTTTCCGAGAGGTAATGGAGACGGGGCAGTCGGGGCCAAAATTTAATAAGTTGAGGTATGGTTTTAAAAAAAGGGTTGTATATCTAAAAGCCACCTATAAGAAAAATGAGATTTAAGATGATCTCACACAGTGACAAATCCTCCACCAACCACACCATCACCAACTCTTGTTGGCTCCATCGTTTTCGTTCAGTAACTTCAACATACGTACTGTCTTCTCCTTAGTCTGCGCTTCAACTTTTGAGTTTTGTTTTGACACTTGGCGGAAATCAAAGTCAACGTCAAATGTGGGAAAATTAGAGGAAAAATATTGCAAACATTTCCGGAAATCATTTATTTTTCTGAAAAATACATATGATTTTTTTAATGGAAATTTTTCCATGACCCAACACTGAGTGAGATTAACTGAGAACCCCGGAAAGATTTACAATTTACATTCATACTTTATTGTAACAAGAAAACACGTGATTTTTTTTGGTTAGCATGGCTGTTGGCTGAGATCGCCAAATTTCGTAGAAGTTCCAGTGATGATATAACAATACATAAGCTATTTATTATTATCACCTTCAACTTTTACATCTTGACCCAAGATTGTATAAAAGCGTATCGATCTCCTTCTAGAAATATTGTAATATTATATTTAATCAAGCATTGATTAACAAATTATGAAATTTCAGTTTAAATTGTCTGTCTACGGTTTATTTCAATTACACCATCCACCAACCCACACCAACCACCATAGTAAGTTATTAAATAATTTGGGTGCTAATACAAACATCGTTCTACTACAACATTCCAAATTACATGCATTAACATTGCATTACGCATAATATTACTATTACACGAGATGTCTCATAAACAAACATCATTCCGTGATGTTACCGTTACAACGTCACTCGCATTACTTAGACTATAAACATCACTCCGTAATACCACCATCACGCGTACTGTTTCAGGTAATACATTACGCGAGTACTGTTTCCGAGCGATGCATCACGCGGGTAATGTGTGATGCTAACATCACGTGTAATGCTATCATCACGCGTAATGAGAACATCACGCGTGATGTTAGCATTACATTGCATCATTGCATCACAGTATTGCATCACGCCGAGTACTGTTTCGCGTAATGGGTGTTAGTAGCGACACCTGGCAGCAGCGCTACGTAACCCTACGGCACGGTTAGCAATGTCCGATCAAGTAGTACGTCGAAAATTTGCTGGGTGGCGCTATTAATATAGATATTTACTATATTTAGTTCATATTGGGAAACTCCCAGAGCGCCCCGACATGGTCTATGTAATGGGTAATGTTATGAGTAATGCATATTTTTCCAAAGTGATGCGTGATATCACAGTACCCTGTCGCGTGATATCACCTTTGTAATATGACTCACATTACTTACACATGTCTACAAGGAGGCAGCCGTGAACCGATAAATTGTCGTCAAGATGTGAGAACAGCTAGGCACGACAGTCATTCAACTATATAATAAATGACCACAACACAGTCACGCCAGATAGCCGTGATATGGGAACGGGCTAGACGCGACAGTCGTCCAACGATACTTAATAGTTTACAATTGAATGTCGAGAAATGGACGATTATGTTTTATTATTTTATATATTTATGTTTTTCTCATGTTCACAAACAAATAATCAGTAAGTATAAAATAAATAATACTCTGATTAGTCGCGCTAAATCAGTCGAAATCCTTAGGCACGTGGTTCGACACTTAGCTCACTTTCTGAGAACATATCACAAAAATTAGAAAATCTTCCCACAAGTGTCTCGGCTTCGTCTTAAGACAATCAAAGTCATTAAACACCAACCTCACATTGTGTCTTTTGTATAACTCTTTTATTCAGAGCAAATTGGAATGTAACACTATCATTTGGAACCCTGTCCACCACAACCACATACAAACATTAGACATAATTCAAAAGACATTTGCTCGAAATTTATACAAGAAGATGTACGGATATTACCCCTTACTTTATCCCGCAACATTTATTTTAGATATGGTAAATTATATAATGCTAGAAGTGAGACGCAATCTAGCTCTTGGAACTTATATGTTTCGTCTGGTATGGGGAATAATATACAACCCATTTTTATTGTTCAAGGTAGACTTTTTGGTGCCTAGAACTAATCTGGTGCGACTTCATGGAATAAGGTTATTTTCAGTACCTATCACACGATGTAGAGTGTGTGAGATGGCTCCTCTGCCCCGAGCACTTAAGTATATAAATCAATTGCTTAACTTTGACTCCTCATTGGACCTTTTTGCATGCTCAGAATCAAAACTCATGTTTTCTGCAGGACGCTATCTGGATTCTTTGACTGGAGACAGCAGTATTAAGTAATAGGTATTATGTGTTAGTTTAAATGTTATAACAAATAGATAAAATCTATTTGTTTGTGATTTTATCTATTTGTTCATAAATGTTAATCTGTAATAGTTTATTGTTTATGGTATTGTATTTATAATTTTATCAATTTTTATATTTTATTCTTTTTTGTAATTTACTTAATACTGTTTGTTCATTTAGCTTTAAGTCTTGCTATTGCGTTCGGGTTGACTGTAAGCAATATGTAATAAATAAAATAAATAAATAAACGATAAATAAGTCGTTAGGACATAATGGAAACGCACCCTACGTTAGACGTACTTGCGGATCCCCACAGTTGCAACACATAACTCCAAAGCTCTTCGAAGACTGTTTTGTGGATGGGATAGCTTGCCTTCAAGGGACAACCGGGACTGTTTGCCCAGAAGCCATTCCAATGATCTGAACTTGTTATTGACCTCGTCACGCGTCTTTTGTATGTGTGTTTCCAAGTTTATCTTCGGTCAAGTCACAGGATTTTAAAACATATTATTATTATTATTTTATGTTTCAGATATTTGTTGCAAACTCTGTAACCAGGCTTCAATTGTACATGAAACAGCTAACTAATTCTCTGGATGAGACTACCACACAGGTAAAGAACTTCGCATAATAAATTGTGTACAATGGTCATTTTCGTATTAGCGTTCACTACCTAATTTCCAAAAAAAAATTAATTTTTATAAAAATTGCAAACTCGAGACATTAAAGCCCTCAGCCTTAGGCTTCGGCTTTCTAACAAACTCTCGTTAGTAATTTCTTATTTACCGCCCTTAATACACAATGTCAAAGTCGAATAATCATTTAATCCATAGGTAAAATTTTTACACTTGAAAACGTCATTTTTAAGCTATTGCTCGTTCGCTACGCTGACCTCACTGAGAAGAACGAGCAAGAAATTCTAGGGCTTGCTCTTTTCAAATAAACTAAAATGCTGTGGAATACACTTTGAATCATAATTGTGTGAAATCAAGACTCAAATTGTGTTTCCATACATCTTTATCTAACAAATACTCTTCAATGTTGTAATGAGACTTTTCAATTAAAATACTTTCAACATAAGTTTTACACTTAGGAAATGGTGATCTTAATATATGCTCCAGAATTGTAAAAACGTATACAGTTCCCCATGAAAGAATCGTTTACTTTAGTTAAACGAAATCGTGGTACCATGAGTTTGAACTTAGTTCTAAGAGTTCTATATCTTATTTCCTTACGAAATTATGTATGTTTGATACCAGTCTCCTTAAACTTTTCTCTGAGAGAAATCCGAGAATATTAAATAACGTTGCACAATTAAAAAATGAAATACTTAAATAATAAAAATTGCCACAGATATTGGATAGTGAACACAAGTCCGAGAATAACCATCTAAGTCTCTCGGTGTCTCTCTTCAATTTTTACCAGCATCAACTCTTTATACAGGGTGTCCAAAAACTCAACATCAAGCACCAGGCAAGAAGCCGGGGTACACCCTTCTTTTTTTTACTAATAAATAATTACTCTAGATGTGTGACACAAATTAATAAATGTCGATTGTTGTATTATAAAACTTAATCAAATGAAATGAAAAGAATTATAACAATACTTTTATTGCATTATTTTTTCTACAAGGCTCAAGTAAATGCCCAAATTATTTATCTTTGACGCAAATACACGCTCCGCAACGCCTTAAAAATTATCTTTAGCAGCAGTAGAGCTTTTTGTGACAGAGTTCGTCCAGGAAAGTAGCCACCTTACCTATTTCTACCGCCAAGCAGTAATATTAGCATTACTTCGTTCCGGTTTGGAAGGGCAAGAATGCTGGTGAAATTACAGACACATGGGACTTGTCAACTTATGTCTAAATAATATAATCTTACAATAAAAATATTATTTATTGTCGTGTCGTACAATGGAAGCGCGCAAAGCGACGAGTGATGGCAAAAAACTAAAATTTATGATGAGAGCACCTGTGTGATCAAAGTCGTTGATTTTCAACATTTCCTAAAATATGCCTATTATCACATAACTAATTTACATAAACATAGATATCTTATTTTTACCCTGGCCTCTCGCCACCCTACCCGCTTGACGTTGAATTTTGGGACACCTTGTATATCTCACTGCTGAAAAATTGTCTGCTCTAAGGAGACGGTTTAGGCCAGAGACCCTCAAACTTATTGTCTCATAATCCGTGTGCCAATTTAATCTATTTAGGTTAGACCATTTCAAATATTGAATTTTTACAAATTCGTCAACTTGTAATATTTTTTCTAGACATACACAAATGTACGTAACGTTAACGCACTATATTAGTAGGTGCCAGTAACTACGTAATATCTTTAAGTGTTTTTATTAAATGTCAGGATGTTTGACCACCATTACATTTAATTACTTATATTTAAATATTTATTACATTTAAGTATTTCGTTACCCATTAGCATGGCACCTTTACAACTACCAGTCCTGGCTAGAGATGTCGCTATTCACTGTAATTAAGTCGAAGGATTTTTCTCTAAGTGTTCGATCTTCTTTCTTGTTAAATTTTTCAGATAGTGACTTCAATACCTCGCATACTTCAAGATGCGTCAGCTCTCCAAATGGAAGGTGCTCTTCTTCAGCAGAAGCTCTTGAACTTGGAGAGCAAAGTCCAGGGTGTTGAGGAGCAGACTGGACACTCCATTGAGAGTCTACAGCGGATTGACCAGCTTAAGAGCCGGTTGGAGGTATAGCTTGTAAAAATTAATTAATTATTTAAATTTTTATTGAATTGATATTCAATTATTTTTTGTGAAATTACTCCATTAGTTTGTTATAATTATTAATACAAAGATCGAACACTCAGAAAAAATTCCTTCGATCCGGTCGGATTCGAACCGACGTCTTCTTGCATACCGTGCCAGACGCTATACCAACTAAGCCACGGAACGAACCAACGGACCTCACGAATTTTTCTATGTGCTTGCGTCGTGTCTTTGTACTTGGTCTTTCAACGGCGAATTAATTAATTGTCAAAATAGCCGTTTTAATCTTTTCATCCATTATATTATAGAATGCAGCATCAGCGTTACGCGAAGCAGACAAATGGGCAGCATTGGCAGTTTCCCTGGAAGACATTTTGGAAGCTGGTGTACCCACACAGACCGACAAGTTGCACGAGCTGGCTGAGCAGGTAGCTGCCATGACAGGGAGCCTGGAGGTGAGGATGATTACCCTCTTTATCACTAGGAGCACAGATCAATAATGTTCTACGGAAATTGGCGGTTACATTGTTGATCTATTTAGTTATTTGTACGGGCTCGGCTATGAAACTCCTTTCGTTTTAACCGACTTCGTTGTGAACCGATTTTGGTGATTCTTTTTTTATTGGATAGAGGATACCTTAATATTGGTCCCGTTTAAACTTGATATTCCACCCCTGAGGGTGGCAAACTAGGGGATGAATCGGGTTTCGCGCACTTGCCGAATAGATGATATTTGGGGTCGGTTTTTTTAAATAAAACAGTTGTTCATATTATTGATCTAAGCTCACCAGATTTCTTAAATGTGGAGTGTAACTTGAAACCTTTTTACGATTTTTTTTTGTATTCGACCTCCGACAATATGTGTTGTCAGACGAGACCTGTTACATACAAACAGACAAAAACGTTCCACCAATAAAGCACTCTACACCGTCCAAAAAAGTACCAGGCGATCAGAAACATTACAGAGACCTTTGTTACACTTAAGGTTCTTGGTGACGCGCCAGACTACGAGAACAAGAAACTTCAACTAGAGACGCTATATAACAGGCTAGAAGCGGCAGTCAGTCCGCCTTTGATTGAAGCTCTCACTCAAATGGACCCGGGTAAGTTACATTCCACCTCCAGATATGTGTTAGGCAGGCCTAACTTGGCCTGTCTCATTATAAACAATCTAACTTGAGTTAATCCCTGTGTAACAAATTTTCAATAAGGTCCTGTTTCTGGGGGTCGATTGAGAACCTTAAGATAACTCAATTGTCGACCGATACGATTTGACATCGTACGATTTCTTTTCATTTTTATTCACAACACCCAAATCGAACGTCTGACTGTCGTATTCGAAACTGGAGGGCTACTCTCGATCTCCGTCCAACATCCGTCCGAAACAATTACTGTGTAGAATAGCCCTTGTCATTAGTTTATAACCCTATTTCACAGACAAAACAGCTACTTATGTAGCGCTATTCAGCGGTATGTCCCGTAGCGTGTCTGTGCTTCGCTGCTGGCGACGGGCTGCTGCAGCTCGGCTGGCCGCCGCCTGGAGGAGACTAGATCATCACTCTATATACGCCTTGACTAGGTTGTTAACTGCCGATGCTAATAAACAGGTTAGTTAGCAGTTCTCTCTACTGCCACCTCTCTGATTCTGAAGGTATGTTCTAGCATCGTTATCACAGAACAATAAATACAGTAGAAGTGCTTAGTTTGTATGGCACGTGGTCCAACAGTATGCAGAGTTCCCCAAATTTGAGCTCAGTCCGCAATTTTCGTTTTTTTTACGTTATGGTCGTGTCTATCTAGAATAATGCCTTATTTTGCTACTTTGGAGTACAAAAATGATAGGTCGCACTTGAGATCTGTGGTTGTGTTTCGTATCTTCATTAAATTTGATTTAATTTTAGTAAATTTATGTTTATACAAGTGGTATTATTTTTTTGTTACCAGAAACGAAAGTAAATCAAAAACATCTCCAACTCGTCGTCGTTCGTTTCGTTCGTCGTCGAATGTTTGAGAGACAGCGGTTCTGATAGTAATCGAACTTAAGACACTTCCATTGGTTTTTTTTTCGTTGTAATGGGACGAGCTCAGAAGAACTTTTCGAACTGGTGCCACCGTCACGTTTCCACCATCGCACCTCTCGCCAAAGGAGTAGAGCCAATCTTCACATCATTGTAAAACCACGCGGGTATCACGTTCGTTCCTTGTTCGAACCTGCGAGATGTGCAATTGTCTCTCTCCTGAAGAACTTCCATTGCGTTATGACATAAGATTTTTAAAAACTCAATCTGTTTTTCTGTATTGATTTGTTTGAAAATACAAATGCACGCGATTGTGATCCGAAAACATTTTTTCTTTTTCTATAAATTGGTTTAATGCAATTTAGATATTAAAGTTGGTAATACATTGTCCCGTTTCAGGTTGAATGGTTAACTGATGTGCTGAAGTCGGAGACTCCTGTTTCAGAATTGATCAAACTATACACCGATTTATTGGTCTCCTTGGAACCTTCGCCTAGTAAGGTACTGTAGTTGATCTTAGAGCAAGTTACTGACAAGTTCGAAAATACTTGTCTCTTAGCCATTTACAGGCCTACCGCTTAACTGAGGCGGTTCCTGAGGTAGATGCGCGGTGCGGGAGGGGTGACAGTTACATAACAGGTATGTCACGCTGCACACGGGATCATTTCAACAAGATATTTCTAACAATATTAAAGTACTTAAATTATTCCTAGAGAGAATTGACCTCAAAGATCAATGCTAGAGAGAATACTTTCACTCCGCTGCCATCATGACATTTGTCGCACTTTCAGGTAGTGTCGGCAAATCTGAAGCTATCTTCTTCTCCTGATGAAGGCCTGGTACTTTTGACAGATCTAAAAAGAGATATAGACGAATTCGTGGCCTGTATCAAGAGTATTATGGATGCGCCTAGGCAGAATAAAGGTACGTGATTATTTCCACACTATAATAGTACATTATGTATTATAAACTGTAAATGGGAAATTACTAACAAGGGTCTATTAGAAGCCCGAAGCCGAACCCTGAGGGCTTTTATAACTCGAGTTTTGTGTCGTATCTATTTCGTCACAAATGTTTTTCATCACATTTGCGACGAAATAGATACGACGATAATTTATTTCTTGTATGAATAAATATCGCTTCACAACATAATTTACGGATTTTGCAAATAGTCGGTTTTTTTAAACAGATTGCCAGCTATTCTTCCATAGATAATACAACTCGAAATAAAATGTTATAAAAGGCACAGACTCGTGCCAGTCACAATGTATTAGATATAAAATAAATAATTTCCAAATTCTTAAAATACTGCAGCATTTGAATTCACAAAATAAGTTAAGTAAAATACGGTTTAATTGCAAATGTTTAGTTTTGGCTAATATTGTTGTAAAAAATCCATACGGCGATAATACAATGAAAAAGGCCGTGGGCACACATTTAAGCCATTACGGTCTACTTTGCTCGCATGTCATGACACTATTTACGAGCAAGTGTGATGAAAAATATATTTTCTTTTATTTTATTTTAGAAACAATACAATCATCAACCCTAAAAGAACTGGGCAAAGCTGCGTATGCGCCTCTAAGAGAGCTACTACCGCGGTACACTGAACTACAAAGTCAGCTGTTTTTGGCGAACTTGAACGATCCTATGTTAAAACAGGTCAGTAAACTTCTTCGATGATTCTAACCTCCTTTTATTTTCAAGTTGTTTAAAAAAAGTAAACTAGTATAACTATAAACAAGTAAAGTCTTGTGGAATTTTGTTTGTGTGTGAGATCATAGTGACACAGCTCGATATTACTTTGGAGTGCACCTTCTAGTAATACCCTCTCATCCCACAAATAATGGCAGAAAGTTTTGTTTGAGAAATAATGCGTGTAATGTCTCCCGTATGACATGCTCTAAGGCCAAACTTAACAATCGTTATAAAAACATTTCAGTGAATTTCCTTCCCTATTATGAGCACCTGGTACATTTAGTTTTTCACTACTTTTATACAGAACCGTGGACGACCGTGAGATATTAAAACTATAACTTTATAGTTTTTAAGTTTTGTTGAATGTCACAATGTTTGACCACCATGATATTCAAATATTTTTGTGAAATTAATCTATTAGTTGGATATAAATTTATGTTAACATAAACAACGTACAATTTCCCCATTAGTATGCCGCCTCGATAAAGCTTATTATTATATCCACATTCAGCTGTCAAATTCGAGTGATAAAAATTTTATCACAATAGCGAACATGGCGAGCACCGTGACGTCACATTTTTATGTCATCGCGAGCGTCAGCGACCAATGACTGCAAGAGATTAACACAATGCCAAACATGGCTGCGAGATCACAGCTGATTTTAAAACATATGCACAGTAATTTTATCAACGTAAAAATTGAGCGCGACAAACGAGATTAAAAGACATTTTTAGTTTTTGTATTTTCGCGGCGATGATTAAACAACAAAGATAGCTATATACGCAATTTTATGTCGTTGTCCTTGTTCTTCAAAATGTATATGTAATAAATGTAAAAATAAAATGTAATGTATAGTTCATTATCAATGAAGCAAATTTAGATTTATCAACCGAATTAAATATTGTCACGGGAAGAGTTATCACACATATTCTGCCATGCTACGACCACTGTTATTGATAGGCATGTCACTTACCAGGCGCACGACTTGTTCGTCCCGTGACTTGGTGTCATATAAAAATGTATTTTACATTTCTTCAGGACGATCTTTTAGAACAATCCAGGGCACTTCTATCAGTAGCCGAACGATGCGACTCCTGGATGGACGCTGCGTACAATAAAGCAAAGAACATAGCTGGTACAGCCATTTACCCTTACTACGCGCCAACTGTTGAGGTAAGTCTTTCGATTTCATAACGTCCTGGTACTTTTCGTCAATGTATACGTGCACGAAAAGACGTTTAAACCAGTTTCCAATCGCCTTTCATTGACAGTGACCACCAGAGATTGGCAGTGGGTTAAAACCCAATCAACTCACCCCAGTTTTAACCGCATTTTTTCCCAAAGCGCTGGATTTTAATAAGTTCGAGCCCAAAATCGTGGGCATGAACAATTCTTTTTTAGATGAAAAAGAGGCAACTCCTCACAATACCTACCTTGCAACCATTGACTTAAAATAAATGGACGACGGGTCTAATACAAAAACCACGAAAAAAATGTCCCAAGTCAACCTATTTAAATGTAGTGACATGTAAAGGAATATGAAAAAGCTAAAACGTTGAATTTAAATTGTAATGTCATCGCAGTACTGTCTAATTTTGCTTGCTTCGCTGTCAGTCGAACAAACGAAGACTAAAGCGTGAATGACGCTCTGTATACGATTTTAGCGCCCTATAAGTTCGTACACTTTTTAGCGCGGTCCCGACGTCCATATATTTGTAAGTCAATGCTTGCAACCCTGTGGATTCTCACTATTAAGGATGTACATTAATAGATTTTTTGTATCGATTTATTTCAATGCGATATTCAAGCGAAGCAATTCATTAAAAAGGCAAATCGAATCGTCTAGATCATAAATCAATACACATTTTGTAATAATATCTTGAACGAAACTCTACTTACAACAAATATTTAGTATAAAAAATTACATTGCTTCGAGAAACATCGAGCAAAATATAACAAGTACAGACATATTAATAAATTAAAGTATTGATAATGTCAGCAGCGAAACGTGGCGTAATACTTGTAGCCGTGTTGAAAAAATAGAAAAAGAATATTTAAAATATTTTGATTTAGATTTTGAATTCGTAATAAATTTGCAAGATGATAGTGATGACGACAGCATGACAGAATCGTCTTCAGACTTTGAATAAATGATGTTTGTATGCAATCTACCTATAATATTTTATTATACCTATATACTAAGTAATAACAATTGACAAGCTTAACAAATTATAATATAAGTTTCAAACGAAAATTAATAATTAAAAAATATTTACGATTGTTATGCTATCGCTACGTGAACTTACGCACACAAAGGCGCTTATCTGTACACGTCACTACTACAACTATTGCTCACCCGCCTTCGTGAGATAGAATATCTGTAGTAAATAGTTTTTGCCCTCGATTTTTGACATTAATGTATATCAGTGGCGAGACGTCCTTATAACTCGATTTTCACCGGCACGCCTAAAATTTTCCACGTCGTATCAAATAATACATTTTTTGTGTAAAATAAATTAATCTGTGAAATGAAGTATACTAGTACCTTTGTGTGCTAACAAATTGTGTTTAAGGGTCGGCAAGGCGCCACTTTTTCTTCAGGGAAATGTTTTTTGTATTGCTGCGGTTTTACTGACGACAATTTTGACGCCTCGCCACTGATGGGTATTAACCCAATTTAAAATCCGCATTAATAAAGCGCCTGGTAAAAACCCGGGTCTTGCCCATCTCTGGTGACCACCAACAATATAATTCAAATAATGAGTTGATCAAAATGTTTGCGCAGTTAGTGCCATTTCAAAAAATTAATTAATTTTAACTTGTTTTAAGTAACTTATTTTTTTCAAAGGAGAATGTAAACACGACCTAGGAATAGCTTACATTACTTTAACTAAAAAAAAACAACATTTTTTTTCATTTGTGAAGAGCATCAGTGTCCGTAATTGCGATGATGAAAAAAAATTGTCTATGGTATTACTTATTTTGCGTTCGAATACACCTGCACCCGCGGGAGAAAAAAAAGTGGAAGTGCTTTGGAAGTCTCGATTCATAATTTGAAGCACTATGATATCTTTATAATGATTGTCGTAATTTCTAATTTAAATACAAATAAATTCTGGATATCGTTAAAGGTTCAATACTTATTATTCCAAGATACGACGTATTGATTTTATATCGAAATTTCAATCAATGTCCTGCCATCTAGCGGTCAATAGCTGAACGACGACGAATTCGAGACGTTTACTTAGTTCTCCAAAAAAAAATCGACCATATTGCAAGCGGTTTAATGTTCACTTTGCGCTTCAAATTAACAAAATAAGGCATTTTTCCACAATTTGCGAGAGATAATTAACACGACCATAAAGTACTAAGCGAAAATGGTTTGCGGAGCTCCGCGTACTGTTGGCGCACGTAACACGCAAACTAAGCCCTTCACTGTATTTATTGTTCTGTGCCGGCACCACATACTTACTTTTAAAAAAGGTGATAAAAGAACCGAAAGTACTAAACTAGACTTTAGGCCTGCACAGTAAACCAAATTGTGTATTTCCAGGCGTTCATAACTTCCTTGTCCTCCCACATATCAGCACACAGCCGTCGTATAGAAACAGAGTTTCTGTCATCTGTAAATTCCGGACATGGCGCTGGAGTACTATCGAACACCTTCCCAGCCTCGTTAGTCCTGGAAAGTGCTGCTGCTGTACTTCTGGACACTTTGGCTGGACGGCAGAAGGTTGAACAGGTTGATGAAGGTAAGTCCTTGTGAAGGACTTTACGAATATTAGAACCTATTTTTACCGCCAAGCAGTAATGTGAACATTACTGGGTTGGGGTAAGGTTTGGGGTAACAATGCTAACGACACGACAAGTACAATCCTTGAGCAGGGTTAAACCTGGGTACAATCATATTTGAAGGGTACACGAAAAAAAGGGGCTCATCGACATTTTTGGTAAAATTCAACCTACCATCTTCATTTGATAAATTTCAAACATGCCATTGACGTGATTTATTCAAAACAGCTTAAATTGGGCTCAGTCCACAGTAAACCCATATAATAAAAAATCCATAAATTACTAATACGGGCCCATTGCAGCGCAAACACGGCTAGAATGTGCACATTACATGCGGAAGCGTTGAAAAAGGTGCTCATTTTCCAGTCCAATTCAAGAACGTGCCCATTGCGCAGCCATTTTGAACGATCTGTCATACTTTGGCGCGTTGACATTAGGAACGTCAAACACATTTTTAGATTTCGTGGTTCGTTCGATAAAGTTGTGTGTGTTCTTGCGAATTTCGAGTAGAAAAGTAATTCGATAAAATGGAAAGTGAAAGAAAGTATAGCTTTAATTAATAAACTTTTGCAAATTGATTATTTTTTATTATTTCCTGGTTACCTATAAACACTATGTCAAAGAGGTAATAAGGGGCACATTGCAGCAATCAGCCCTTTTTTGCTATGTTAATTTGTAAGTTACCTTAAAAAAATGACACAACTTTGTTATGATTGAACATATTGTTAAAAATGATGATTTCAGTAATGTTATAGACAAGTGAAATGTAGAATATACAGATAATAACTTTTAATTCTGGCTCTTTAATGAATAATTAAGGTTTAAACTTATAATTAGCCATTTTCTCTAATTAATATTTTTGTTGATGAGCCCTTTTTATTCCTGTACCCTTCATTTATCATTGTGCTAAAATCTATTTGCAATGGCAGTGAAGTCTAGAAAAAATTCCATTTTGAATAAATTATATTTTTCAGAAAAATGAACATTTTTTCAATATGTTTCCTTTAATTTTCCACATTTGACGTTGACACCTGTCAAAAGTTGAAGCTACTGAACGAAAACGATGGGAGCCATTAAAAAGGTTTTTTTTTTCCGAATATAATCGGAATTTTATCTCTTTTTTTTATGTATAACATCAAGTGCCGGGAAATACAAGTCATGCACCTGGTGGTAAGCTACACGCCTGCCCATAACAGTTGCAGTGCCACTCAGAGCTTTAAATCGCAAAGATCTGACAGGTACTGCCGCTGCGTCCGTCACCCTGAGACATAAGCTGACAAATCCCATGTACCAGTAATTTCACCAGCACGATTACCCTTCTAAACCGAAACCCAATAATGCTAACATTTACAACAATTTCCAATTTTCCTCTAGTCGCAACAGAGTGTCACTAGAATGGCATTCGTTCAATCACTAAAGATCGATGTTACCGTAATAAAAAACTACTATGGAAATTACTATGCAATATCTAATTTTTTTTCTCATTAATGCAAAAATTTGGTCTTTGAATTAAATGTAATTTTTTTTATGTAAATATAAAGTAGACTGCGCCATCGACTGGCCATTGAAGAGCAGAAGACTAAAAAATTGCAATGGCCGTTAAATAGTAGCTCGAGGTCACTGACAAGCCTCTACTCTTAAGTTTTAGCAGAATACCAAACGCATAAAATCCAGCCATTGACACTCCACCGACACAACTGAGATGATTTAAAGTTTGCAGACTTGGAGCACAAGACACTATATTTTTTTTCAAAACTGTAATAGTACATTATGTAATAAGGACGGCAAATAATAAATTACTAACGAGGCTCTGTTAAATAATGTTATAAAAAGCAGAGACGCATACAGCCATGATGGAAATTTTAATGCAAAATTTTTACATATAAAAATAATTAAAATCAATTATAAGTTATAATAATAAAAATAACGCACACACTCAACATTGCCCCGCACTAGGGAAACCATGTGTCGCGGGTGCCATGGACACACACATAGACAACCACAAATTACACCCAAACTCACGAGAGAAATAAATGTAGGCTTTATAAACGAATGTTTTGATTTTCAACTTAGGTAACCTCCTTGCTTGAATTTGATCCTGACCAATGTAAGGAAGCATCGAGTACATAATCAGAAATAGAAACAAAATATGGGCCATCCATCCCTGGCAACTCATCAGGTAAATGGGCCTTGTATCACTTTTAAATATCAACTCTCGTTTGCGCTGAAATCACAAATTAGAAAACTGAAATAGTACAGCGCCAACAACTGGCCTGTGTTTTCGTCTTCGTATATTCCAAAAGTATTCTGTAATTATTGTAATAAAGATAGTATCTCTAACTATGGGGGGCTGTTCCATTTGGTGGTGTGAGAAAAACAGCAAAACATCTAATTACAAATCAAACGGCAATTAAATATTAAATATGTAATTTTTCAATTTACGTCCATTATAGCAAAGCTCAAGATAAACTGGTCGATTTGAAGTGAAACAATTAACGACATGCGTAAATTTTTTCGAATTCAGGCTGACCAATCGAAGCGCAGTTGTTGCTGTAATGATTTGGCAAAATAGTTTTCAAACAAATCAAATGACATTTCGTCTCTATTTCTGGTTATATACTCGATGTAAAGAAGTATGTCGTGCTGCAAATTAAAAGAAACCTTACCGACCTTGCTCCTTACCGACCACGGCTGCAATGGAAAGAAAAAGGCCCGAGAGTTTCTTTTGGGGCATAATTATCAAGTTAACCACCATGCAATGCTACTTACGAGCAAGTGTGATGAAAAACAATTTATATACATTCCGATAAACGTTGGGGAAAAGTAATAAATCTCTTTTAGTAATACGAAATGCCTTAATTTCATGTTCTCCTGATACCAGAACCCAAAAACCAACCCCCATTGGAAGATCTCCCTTCGCTGCTACTGGAGGCCGACGCACGGCAGAGGCTAGCAGCCCTCAGGGCGGAGTCCCAGGCCTGCGTTGCTGGACTGAGAAGGGCGAAAGACCAACTCCGAGGGCTAGCTAGGGCTATACTGAGGAACCCCGTCGATGCACAATTAGGTGAGTAAATTACTGCAGATCATAATTGAAGTGAATTTGATCTTTATATCAATTGTGTAATGTACAAAGTAGATACCATACGGTTCTGTGTACCGTTTAGGTTCTCGGGTTTCTAGTTTAAAGTTTAAGGAGACTGGTATCATGGCTGAGGCATCACAGTACATTTACTCAAATATTTTATATGCCCGTAAATATATACATAATTTCAATAAGAAAGAAGATATCCATAATATTAACCTTAGAGCTAACTCCCAACTCATGGTACCACGATTTCGCTTAACCAATGTAAACGATTCTTTTATAGGGAACTGTATACGTTTTTACAATAAGATTCCGGAGCATATATTAAGATTATAATTTCCTAAGTTTAAAACTTACATTAAAAGTATTTTAATTGGAAAGACGTATTACAAAATTGAAGAGTATGTGTTAGATAAAGATGTATGGAAAGACAACATGAGTCTACATTCCATACAAATTAGATTAAAAGTGTATTACATAGCATTTAAGGTCATTTGAAAAGAACAGTCCCTAGAGTTTCTTGCTCGTTCTTCTCAGGAAAGTCGGCACAGTGAACGAGCAGTGGCTTAAAAATGACGTTATGAAGTGTAATTTCTTTTTACCTATGGAATAAATTATTACTTTGTTAGCTGCTGGGATTTCCAAGATTGCGCGAGAATTCTCCGGAAGATGCGCGACTTGTTTTTAGCTCATGTCTAGTTCGTACGTTACAGAACAATAAGTACAGTGGAAGTGCTTATTTTGTGTAGCACGTGTGCCAACAGTACGAGGAGTTCCGCATACATGAGCTCGGTCCGTCAGTTTCGATTTGTACGTCCTCATCATCATCATGTAGTGCCTCTCCACTACTGGACGCTGGCCGTCAGCTTGGAGAACTCTTCCCTGTCCTGAGCCAAGCGAAACAGATTTTCTACGCTGGCAATATTGATCCATTCCCGGATGTTGCGCAACCACGACTTCTTCCAGTACGTCGTTTACCCTCGATCTTGCCCATCATTATCAGTTGGGAGAAGTCGGTACTTTTCATGCCGTCGAACGTGTCCAAGATCTTTCTTTTTCTTGACGGTCTGCAAGAGTTCTCAGTCCCTCCCAACGCGCTGAAGAACTGTCATATTGGGAACTTTCTGGATGCAGCTAATGCGAAGCATTCTACGGTAGCACCACATCTCGAAGGCCTCAAGACGCCTCTGGGTGTCGGCTTTTAGAGCCCAAGCCTCGCTACCGTACTATACCCTGTTTCAAATGAATTGAGAGTAAAGGTAAACATTGAGTGCATTGACCCGACCATAGTCGGTTTAGTGATGGGCAATTGTAGAGTAATTTACTAATCAATTATTGAATGAATCAGATCAATTAATTGAATCTGTTGGACTAACATCAAGTAAATTCCGCGCATTTGACCGTTGTAAATTGATTGAAGGTGATACATAAAAAAACGTTTCTTTATTTACGATTATTGACATTTATTGTTTAAAAGTTAGAAGCTATCAGTTAAATACAGAAAATTATGAAAATACTTGATAATTAACAAGTCGCTAAATCGTTTGTAAGCGGTACAGAAATAAGAGTTGGTCAAATGATTTCAAGACGTAAGTTTCTGGTGGCTCTTGAGGCAATCACTTACTCGAACTATGATTCACTCAATTGAACTTTTTTCCGTACATCCCTATGCAACCATAGACATTCTAGACTATGGATTGTCAAATCAATCTCGGTTTTCGGCGAAGATTTTTCAATTATGATTTTATAATGCATAACAAACGAATATTGTTGGAAAAAGTGGTGAGATATCAAGTGGAAACCTACAAAATACACATAAAAGTGTTACTTATTCCATATAGTGAGTGATTTCTTCAGAATTTTAACCCAACTGGTTTGTTTACGTTTACTCTCAATTCTATTGAAATAGACTATACATTACAGGCCAGACGCACGTACGTCGTACGTTATGATAGTGACCATTGTCTTCCGTAAAAATTCGAAAATTCCTAAAATGCTTATTTTGCTACTTAGGAGTCCAAAATTATAGTCGCACCTATAATATTATTCATGGTGGTGTTTCATATCGTCGTTAAGTCTTATTTTATTAGCCGACTTTAAAAGGAGGAGGTTATCAATTCGACTGTATTTTTTTAATGTATGTTACGCGATAACTGGCATTTATGAACCTATTTTGATGATTCTTTTTTATTTGGAAGAGGATATCTCAGTGTTGGTCCTATTTAAATTTGAAGGAAATATTCCACCTCCAAGGGTAGCAAACTAGCGGATGAATAAAACTTGGCAAACAGATGTAATTGATCTTGGACGTCGTTTTTTTTTGTATAAATAAAGTTATATAATAATAGATTTTTAATCAAAAAAAAATTTTTTTTAATCTTAATAGATTTTTGTTACAAGGAACGAAAACGAAACGGAACCTTATACGCAATATGGTCGATATTTTTGTGGAGAACGTTGATAACGTCTTTCAGCCATCGATAGATGGCAGCACATTGAATGAAATTTTAATATAAAATCAAAAGTCGTAACTTGCAACAATAGGTATTGGAACTTTGAACGATATGCCAACTGGGTAAAGTTTAAAAAAAATATATTAACAGTCCAGAATTTATTATTTCTTTTTAAATTAATTATGACCAATCATTATCAAGATTTCATAGTGTTTCAAATTATGAGTGCTATGCGGTTCTGATAATAATCGAGACCATTTTCCCTTGTTTTTTTTTCATCCATAGAATTTAGTGCCACTTTATTATTAAGGGTGTAGTGTATTATAATAAAAATTAAAACATCTAACGTTTATGTATTGCAGAAAAAATACCTCAATTGCCGGTGTGGAATAACAACGACGCCTTGTCAACTGATTTGCCAGACTTTGCTTTGTCGCCACAGGAATATATTACTGAGGTACTTCTTACTATATTCAGTTATACCATAGTAAAATAAGACAAATATCTTTTCTAATATAGTTGGGTGTTAATTACCTATAGTCTGCCTTTTTGAAGACGGTGCATTTATTGTAATAAAGATAATATCTCTAACAATGGGGGGTTCTGTTCTGTTCCATTCGGTGGTGTGGGAAAAACAATGGTTAATCGGAGCGCAGTTGTCACCGTAATGATTTGGCAGAATAGTTTTCAAACACATTCAATGTCATTTCGTTTCTATTCCTAGTTATATACTCGATGGAGTAGCGTTACCACTGAAATTTTGCTTTTGTGGCTGCCACAGAGGCAGTAGTAGGAGTACATTATTATAGTATTCGCTTTTTTGAAGATGGAGTAAAATGACATTTGCAGGGTTGCCAGTTTCAAAAATTTTTAAATAGTTTTGTAGTAATTATTAATACAAAGATCGGACACTCAGAAAAAATTCCTTCGATCCGTCCGGACTCGAACCGACATCTTCTAGCATACCGTGGCAGACGCTATACCAACTAAGCCACGGAACGAACCAGCGGACATGTGTTTGTTGTCGTATCTGTGTATTTGGTTTTTCAACGACTTTTTAGTCGTTAATTTTACAAAATATAATTGAATATCAATTCAATAAAAATTTAAAAAATTATCTAGCAGTTGTCGACAGTTTTATCGATAGAAGGTAAAATATAAAATTCTCATTATTACTAATTGCGTTATTGCCTTTTTTATTCTTATTTTGCCAGTTGGCCTATTGGTATCGAAAGCAATTTTTATTCATGTGAATTTAATAAGAACAGGTTGATTACATTATCTATGTTGTTAATAAAATTTATTAAAATGAAAAACTTTAAAATGTGTCTCCTCTTTGTGTAGACATAGTTCTAAATTACAAAAATTGACAATTCAAATGAACCTGTGTCCAACAGTTGGACGAATTATGCGCCTATGACGATTCAAATGAACCAAGTTCAGCTATTTATTCCATAAAAACGTGATCAACGTTCAGTCGATAGTTGATAGAGTATTTAATGAACGGTCATTTTACTCCATCTTCAAGAAAGACTATATAGTTCGAGACCAGGTATAATTGGTGATGTTTTCTAGCACATAGTTATTATTCTTTTTTTTTCTCCAGATTGGTCAATATTTGATGACCTTGCCTCAACACTTGGAAATGCATTTATCAGAAAAGCAGGCACCATGGCAGTTCTTGTCTGATGTAAGTGTTATAACTTTGAAATTTGACTTGAACCAATAACTCAAAAGCCAATCTCCATACTACATTTTAAAAGCAGTGAAAGAGTTAACCCAGGGAAGTACTGCCACTTTATCCATTTCTATCGCCAAGCGGTAATGTGAGGACTTGTCAGCTTAAGCCTAAGGTTGACAGGCGTAGTGGCAGTGTTCCTCAGATATTTACGATTTAAAGCTACAAATTATTATGAATAGAATAAGAACACGCGGAGAAAATTTGACACAGATAGACGTCGACAAGCGCCCAATGGCGACTGACGGGGCAGCGGGCGTCGCAGCGTGTCGTTAAACCGTTAGGTAATTTTTAAGCTCTGGAATAAATGTGAATTTAGTAACTACAGTACTTCAGTTGAAAACCAAAATTTAGCACGTTCTCTATAATCATCGAGTATGTAACCAGAAATAGAGACGAAGGGCCATCCGTCCCTGGCAACTAACCAGGCAAATGGCCCTTATATCCCTTTTAAATATCAACTCTCGTTTGCACTGAAATCACAAATTGGAAAGCTGGAATACTACAGCGCCAACAACTGACTTGTGTGTACGTCTTTGTATATTCCAAAAATATTCTGTATTTATTGTAATAAAGATAATATCCCTAACAATGCCGTCCTGTTCTATTCGGTGGTGTGGGAAAAACAGCAAAACATCTAATTACAAAACAAACGGACTCACATTTCATCGGCAATTAAATATGTCATTTTTCAATTGTCGTCCATAATGGCAAAACTCAAGTTAAACTGGTCGATTTGAAGTGAAACAATTGACAACACCCGTCAATTGTTTCGAATTTGGGCTGCCCAATCGGAGCGCAGTTGTCACCATAATGATTTGGGAGAATAGTTTTCAAACAAATTAAACGACATTTCGTCTCTATTTCTGGTTATATACTCAAAATGTCTCCATATAAAAATTGTGTGTAATGTTAGATATTTTATTCTTAAATAATTCGTTATAGACATTGACTTACAATTATATGGACGTCGGGTCCGCGCTAAAAAGTGTCCGAACTTATAGGGCGTTAAAATCGCATACAGAGCGTCATTCACGCTTTAGTCTTCGTTTGTTCGACTGACAGCGAAGCAAGCAAAATTAGACACTACTGCGATGATATTACAATTTAAATTCAACGTTTTAGCTTTTTCATATTCCCTTACATGTCACTACGTTTAAATAGGTTGACTTGGGACATTTTTTTCGTGGTTTTTGTATTAGACCCGTCGTCCATTTATTTGTAAGTCAATAGTTATAGAGTTTTATTTTCAGGATTTTATATGATCGAGTAAAGTACATCCTCGTGTAACGAATTAGGACACTCTTTAGACAATATCTTTAGGTGTATCATGTATTTTTTATCCAACAAAACAGTTTTTCCGCTTCGAATGACTCGCTTTAATGTATGTTTTTTCTTATTTTCTTCAGGTATGTACTCACACGTGTGAAATTTACGCAGAGAAAATATTGAACATACGAAATATGGACGCTTTGGGCACGAAGCGATGTCTCACAGATATAGGTAAGAAGAAAATAAATCATTAATTGTATATATATATATATGTATATATATATGTATATATATATTCTTTATTGTACAAAGAAAAGACACGTGAAACACACGTTACAATGGACATATACAAAGGTGAGCTTATCTCTATAAGAGATCTCTTCCAGCCAACCCTAGCCGTGATGCAAAAATGAAGTCTGCGGGACTAATTATTGTACAACAAAATTAAAATTTAAATGTGAATAAAAAACTTTATATACATAAATACATACATAAGCAGAATATATATTATAATGACAGATTATTTGTTTACAAATATGTTACCTATAAACTATCTAACGCGTTCGACAGGAAGTGCTCTTTTAATTTGTGTTTGAAAGATGCCACCGATGGACTGTCACGAATGTTAGCAGGTAGTTTATTCCACATACGAGCTGCACTTACGGTAAAAGAATTGTGAAAAATTTAGAGTTGGATTGGGGATATAAAAGTGTTCTAGTGTCACAGGTGCGTTTTGGGCGGGAATTGGGGGATAAGGGGGAAAAACGGGAACACAGATAAGGAGGTAATTAAAAATTTTAGAAAGAAGACAAAGAACGTGCATATCTCGGCGAAGTCGGATTGGGAGCCATTTCAATATAGTCCGAAATTGTGCAACAGTTATAATAAAATGTGTTTATAAAATTTTATTGAATTGATATTAAATTATTTTTTGTGAAATTACTCCACTAGTTTGTTATAATTATTAATACAAAGGTCGACACTTAGAAAAAATTCCTTCGATCCGGCCGGATTCGAACCGATGTCTTCTAGCTATGCCACGAAACGAACCAGCGGACCTCACGAATTTTTCTATCGTTTTGTTGTCGTATCTTTGTATATGGTTTTTCTTAGTTAGCATAGCGTCTGGCACGGTTCGATCTTTGTGTTAATAATTATAACAAAATAGTGGATTTTTCTTCCACAAAATACATCATCGCTAGGAACTACACTTTAAGTTCTGAAAAGAATAATTTTGTGGGAGACTGATGCCTAAACTAAGCATAAATATGTCTGTACGTCAGACCACCAGAATCCCAGTTCTCTGAAATACAAGTTAAAAAAAATCTTGACATAAGTTATTTTTAACACTACTAGCATCAATGAAACATGTTATTATGTCGCTTCTCAAACCACAGATACAAAAATTAAATGAGTTGCATCTTGCAAATTAGAATCTCAAAAATAATTATTAATCACGTATAAGTGTATAATAATGGGTGTTACATACTGCCCTCCTTGTCATAAACAACGGATTTAGCATTTTTGTAACTTTCGAGACCTTTTACCCCTCCCAGTATAAAAATAATTTAATGAGGCAGGCATCAAAAGTAAATAAATAAATAACGTTGTGCGCGTTTCCACTCACTTGGAAATATACCGGTATATATATTATATGTATATATAATATATATACACATTTCATCGGTAATTAAATATGTAATTTTTCAATTTTCGTGCATTATAGCAAAGCTCAACATAAACTGGTCGATTTGAAGTAATAATAATAACGCACACATTCAACATAGCCCGCACTAGGGAAACCCTGTGTCGCGGGTGCCATGGACACACATAGACAACCACAAATTACACCCAAACTCACGAGAGAAATAAATGTAGGCCATACAAACATTTCTCCCGGCCTGGGAATCGAACCTGGGACCTCTGCGTAGCAGTCCGGCATGGTAGGCGTTCTGCCACGGAGGCAGTTTAAAATTGATGTCTTCTAGTTCACGTATAATGTCCATTAAACATATTTCAAATCTCGCCTTAGACCCTCTTCTAGACCGCTACTAAGACACCCTATTTGCGCGCGAGACGAACGCCCCCTATAGCCTCTACAGCTAACCATAAACCCCTGCAAATCCATACCCATGTCCGGGTACGCTACAGACGCTCGTGAAGGTGTATTACTGACAGGGCTTGACCTGGACGCCGGCAGTATGCAGGTCTTACCAGGGAGCCTCTAGTCTCCCGTAGTGCAAAAATGATGCAATTATTTTTTAATTTTAATAAATTTTCTGTTAATTGCTTTTTAATAATTTTTGTGTTATAAGAAACGAAAATATGTATATAAACCTTATACCGCTGCAATATGGACCCTTCTTATTTGTACAACTAAGTAAATATTATCACGAATTCGTCGTCGTTCGGCTATTGACCGCTAGATGGCAGAACATTTTTGAAATTTAAATATGAAATCAAAACGTCGTAACTTGCAATAATAGGTATTGAACTTTCCACGATACGCCAACAAGATAAAGTTTAAATTATATTAACAGTCCAGAATTTGTTATTTCTTCGTAAATTAGAAACTGCGACCTACCATTATCAAGATTTCATAGTGTTTAACATTATGATAGTGTGAGTTTTGACGACAGCGGTCCTGGTGGTAATCGAAGCTTAAGGCATTTCCGTTGTTTGTTTTCTTCGATATTCGTGAACATATGTATGCCTATATTAATATTTTATTATTGTATTTCTTTTCAGTATACTTGTCAAGCGTGGTAGAAGACCTTGGTAGCAACGTGACACCAGCCCTCAAGAGTTTAGAGAAGTCACTTCGAGCAGCCACTCCTGCGCAGGCTGAATAGATTTATTGTTCTTGGACATAATATAAAAAAAATACTTTCTTTTAAGCTCTGAGTGGCACTGCAACGACTTGTTCGTCCCGTCACTTGTTATCATACAAAAGTGTAAGTCAAGCCTGAACTAGGCCGACCTCTTAAAACATTACCATTTGTGTTATTGTTATATAGTTTATAAGGGATTGTAATGAAGAAATTAAAAAATAAATAAACTTGTGTTATGAATATTTTTTCCTAATTGCTGGCGAATATGTTGCTTGAACACAATTTGTGTTCAAGCAACATATTTTCTATTTAACTATACTATACAATCCATACCATGTTATACAGGCTGTATAACATGGCAGGAAAGTGAGACATTCATGCATGTCATAGTAAATCACGTTACAACTTAACATAGACTAAAATAAAATTAGGATATGGGATAGAACAAAAAATAAATCAACAAATTTGTTTTGGAGTGTACATAGGAATAAACCGATTCCCTTTACGCTTGATTTCGAGTGCATTGGGAATACTACCAAACGAGTGCCGAGTGACACGGCAACATTAACAATGATTTCACATCTCTCTCTCTCATCTACTCGCTTACGCTTACACGCTTAAATTAGAGCTTTGGGACCCTGTTGGGCACAGCAATGTACTGTAGAGAGGGCAACATTTCACTTACTTGAATTAAATTAAATCAATAAACATTTCAACATCAAATAAAATCTTCAAAAAAACATGCAATAATTACAACTTATATAAGCATACAATTCTTAAATTACAAATAAAATCTATTAATATTATTATTTTGTCAGTACAATAAATGTCTATGAATTCCATTAACAAAGAAAAAAAATAAATAAAAATAATTAATAATAACAAACATCTCAATATTTTAACGCCTATTATTTATGTATGTATTTCTATTAAGTACAGGTAAGTTTATTGCCCGTGGTCCTACTGCGTAGTCCTACTGGTAGAACCACGGGCAATTTTTTTTCCCGTGGTTCTACCAGTAGGACTACGGGCAATAAGTTATTTTACTCTATGGGCATTGGTCCTACTGATTGATTGGGTGTACAGTCACCGTCAATATGTTATGTTAATAATGTAACTAGTGTCGCAGATTCTCGCCGAGATCTAAGCTCAGCGCGATAACCACGATTCCAGAGCCACCTTGACGCGCCAATACACCGATGACCCGCCAGATATCAGCCAAGACGAGATCGTGCTGGCTCTAAAACAGCTAAAAAACGGAAAAGTCTCCGGTAAAGATGGAGTTACTGCAGAACTTCTAAAGGCTGGAGGAGTTCCTGTCATTAAGGAACTCCAAATAATACCATTATTATACTACATTACTATATTTATTATACTCTAATACCATTTTGCTTACAATAGCATTACTGCAGAAAAAAAGACGTACGATTGGTTTAACGCAGCTTGTCCAAAGCATGCCCTACAGAAATTTCGGAATTTACAAGTTCCATCAGAACTACCATTATAAATTCGTCGTTCTTAATCAACACTGCTGAGCTTTAGTTTTTGTAACTTGTAAATATTTAGCTTTTCGCCAGACTGCTCGACACCAATGATAAAAACAACTCTTAATTTGTGTTCCTGGAAATAATTCTGACATGGCATTTATTGCCGCTATCTCATAATCGCAATGTACAATTGCCGGTTTCCAATGCGACAATTGCGATCTGATGAGAGAAAATAAAATGAAGTATGTTTTCTCTGTCTTATCGGGTAGTAAGGCGAAAATTAACGGCACTACTTTTGTGGTCTCCATTGAACTTCCTACATCACCGAGCAAAGTATATAATTGTGCGAAGGGTTTCGAACAGCTTTTGAACGTTCCGTCCATGAAATACTCTTTAATATTTGAAACGGAGTCTCTAGCTGTTAAAGAACAAAAAACAAGAATGCGCGAACCTTCATCTGAGTAGTCAGCTAAAACGAAAGATGAAAATTTTTCAGGTATTTCCACCTCTTTCAGGCATTTATATATTGTTTTAGACACATGCATAGCCTTGTTTCTAATAGTGTATAAACAATGTTGCGTGTTTGACAGCGAAGGTATATCGGCGACAAAGTTTAGGCCTGCATCTTGTAGCTCAACCATGGCTTCATTATATAGCCGAGGTACTGGTCGATTTGACGTTGTAACCGTTTCTTTTAAATCTGCCAACGCCTTATCGACGATATTTTTTTCTTCATTTGATTGACAAGTATGATGTTTCTGATTTAGTGTCATATTCCCCTGAAGAAGAAAAAAAAACAGACTAACAATCGAACGTGAGAAACTAAAAAGTGAATCCAACCACCCCCTTACCTCTTCACCCCACTCATCTATTGGAACATGTATGAATACTGCTATCGACATCAGTCGTGTCAGAACTGGACTTCGTAATGACGAATGTTCATTTATAGAAGGATCGTTGATCGCAGAATCCAAAAGAGTAGCAAATATGGAAATGAGTTACCTTAATTTTTATTGTACCCGTACATTTTTCCTTTTTATAATTCGAGCACCGCCATATTTCTGATCCATCCTTATATGGTCTCAATTTATAATATTGGTGGCCTGCAAATAACAGCACAGTGCCACCCTTTCTTTTAATAAATTCCATTGTGTATATATTCCTATTATTTTTATTATTTCTCTTAATAGCGGCCAATAATCTAAGAATTACACGGAAAAGAAATCAATGTCAACATGACATGATAATTGAATTTCTTTGTCAGGGAATAATAGAAAACCACATTTATCCTTCTTCAATGTGGTTTTACAATATAAACTATTTGGTTAGGTCTGCACCTAACCAAAGAGTGTATTGTAAACTTCCTATTGACTGTACTACTTGATCAGTAGGACCAATGCCCATAGAGTAAAATAACTTATTGCCCGTAGTCCTACTGGTAGAACCACAGGCAAATTAAATTGCCCGTGGTTCTACCAGTAGGACTACGCAGTAGGACCACGGGCAATAAACGAGTATATTGGTACATTAATGTAACTTATCAGGAACATATTCCTTTATCATTGAAATATTCGTTTATATGGTAGTAACTTTTACTTACTAATATTTTTTTCAGATGGGATTTAAAATTGCTGTCGTGAGGTATTTCTTTTATGGAGTTCGGTAACTTATTATAAATTTTTATAGACATTACAAACGGACTTGATGAATGGAGAGAGATCGTTGATTTTGGTAACATAAGTCTGTTTTAGTGTCTAAAACAATAGTTTGTAGGTACGTCTTGCCTTCTTTTATAAAGATTAGGATAATTTCTGACAAATTTACAGGATTCAAAAATGTAGATACAGGGTAAAGTTAAAATATTGTACTGTTGGAAATAGGGTTTGCAGCTTTCGGTTGCATCAATGTTGGCTAGGATTCTTATCAATTTTTTCTGTAAGGTCAGAATTGAGGGAGATTCGGTGCTGTTCCCCCACAGCATTACACCGTAGTTGAGCCATGCATAGGCATATGCGTAGTAAGTGGTGAGCGCGGTTTCCAAATTAGTTGTTTTCTTTGTTTCGCGAAGTGCATAAGCAAATTTTCCGATTTTAGATCTTAATTTTTGAATATGTGCTTTCCAATTAATATGTGTATCTAAAACTAAGCCAAGCAAGGTAAATTCTTGAACATGATCTAAATGTACATTGTAGAAACTAAAATTAATATTTAAAGAGTTTTTCTGATACGGATAAAAGGCTATTATTTTGGTTTTTTTTAAGTTAATGTCAAGGTTGTGATCTGTCATCCAGTTGGTTGTTGTTTGTAGCATTTTATGGAGTTGTTCATTTACATCTGTATCATTACGACATGTCGTTAGCAAGGATACATCGTCAGCAAATAAGACGCAATGTTCCTTTATAACTTTAGGTAAATCGTTGATGTAGATGAGGAATAGTAGGCATCCAATTACACTGCCCTGTGGGATAGATGCATTAACGACTTTACAGCTAGATCGAAAATGTTCAATTCTACCAGAGTTGTGATCAAAGTTTTCAATTTCCACGAATTGTTTCCTGTCTTTTAAATAGGACTCGAACCACTTATGCGCTACACCTCGTATTCCTATTCCGTGTAATTTATGTAATAAGATTTTGTATTGAACTTTATCATAGGCCTTAGTCATGTCTAGCAGTATGCCTACGGCGTACTGTTTTTTATTTATAATATTAAGAACCTCCTTTATATATTTGTAGACCGCTAATGTAGTTGAGCGTTTTTTACGGAAACCATTTTGACAGTCATCAAATATTTTATATTTTTCACAAAATTTGTAAACACGATCACACATCAGTTTTTCGAAAATGTTTGAAGCTGTGGGAAAAGGGCTATGGGACGATAGTTACTTATGTCATTTTTTTCATTTTTCTTGTATATTGGTTTTATTATAGCCATTTTTAAAGCGTCAGGGAAGATGCCTTCATTAAATGACTGATTGGCAAGCATGGTAAAAGGTATAGTAAGCTCATCGGCACACTGTCTGAGTAGGGTAGGTGGTAGTTCGTCAATTCCATGGCTGTTTTTGTTTTTCAAGTTTTTTATTATTTTATGCACTTCGTAGCAATCTGTAGGTCTCAAAAACATGGTATTTTCAGTGGGGTGGAGCACAGGGCGGCCGGCTGCCCCGTCACTGTTTTTCTCTCCAATTGAAGCAAAAAAGTCATTAGATTTGCATTTTTTTGAGGGTCTGTCACTACTATATTATCTATTTTTAAGTGTATGTTTGTTTTCTCTTTAATGGTTTTTTTATTTGTACGCTCATATATAACATTCCACATAGTTTTAATCTTATTAGATGAATTTTTAATTTTGTTTATAATAGGGGTTAAAATATGAAATTGCCGATTTGTACTGAAAATCTAAATTGTTTATTTTTTAAATTTTTAACAAATTTATTTAATCAAAATAGTTGCCATTATTATCTATACATTGCTGCCATCTAATGGGAAGGTTATTAATGCCTTTGCGATAGAACTCCGACGATCTAGACTGCACAAACTGTGTGAAAGCATTTTGTACTGCCTCCTGGGAAGAAAACTTCTTGTCACGTAGATAATTGTCCAAATCACGAAAAAAATGGTAGTCCGTTGGAGCAAGGTCTGGTGAATACGGAGGATGACGAATGGT